TGTACCGAAAAGGAAAGGAAATGAACATATGATTGGACAATGGAGGGGAAGGTGATGCTTTTTATGCAGTGGTAAAGAACTTGCCTGAATTATGTTCAAACGTTTGACAGAAGGTAAAAGAACATGTAAGTGGTAAACTTGAATATCTGGCTGATGAGATTTCAAAGCAAGATCATTCTGAAGGGGCTGTGTGGTTTCTCCTTGCACTTACAGTAAAATGTGTGAGGAAAAAAATGGACTTAAATATGAACTTTGCAAAATGAAAACAAATCTTAAAGATTTGGAAAATTCTGTTGTAGAAACTAGGGACATGTGTCCTAGAACATTCACCAAGGATGTGGCTACAAAATCTTTTGTTAAAGAGAGTAGGCCTGTGATTGATGGATCTAAACAACTACTACAGCAAAAAACCCATCAGCTTAGACTGGAAGGGACAAAGAATGAAAGGAAACAATGCTGTTTCTTGGAATTCTACAGGCAGGAAACAAGCCAAAGTAGCTATATCTGTTATCCTCCAAGAAAAGAAAAAGACCATCCCTGGAGCAGCTTGGAGATCAGCAGAAGTGTTGGAAGGAGCACAAGAAGCAGAGCCTTCTCTGTTCAAAGGGTGGAGGCACAGCCTTCCAGATTTCAAAGAGTCAGATCTTCACCAATTGGTTCTGGAGCGGGCGATGGAGTGTGGGTCTGCTGTTAAGATGTGCCAGAAGGATGCGGGCACGGCCCAAAGCTGAGGGGATGGGGCTGCCATATCCAAGGGGCACAACAACAGGGTATGCCAGAGTGGGGTCGCCACTCAGATGGCCTCAGATGGACTAGGAGAATGGAGCCACCCAAAGTAGAGGGAACAGAATTGCTGTCCCAGTGGGCTTGGAAGGTAGAGCTGAAGCCAAGTGCCAAGGGGTCTCCACCCAGAATCCAGAAGCCATGGCCAACACCCAATGTCCAGTGTCTGGAGGGTAAGGCCATTGCCCAGACGGTCTCAAGAGAACAGATGATTATTTTCAAACCTTGAGGGGGGAAAAAAAAAAACACCTCAAGGGTTAATGGAAATTGTTCTGCTGGGTTTTGGACTTGTTTGATGCCTGTTATCCCTTTTTTCCCTCCAAATTCTCCCTTTGCAATAAAAATGTATACCTTGTACCTATTCCCCCATTGTGCTTTGCAAACAGATTACTTGTAGTCTACATTTCACCGGTTTACAGATGAAGAGGAATTTTCCCCAGGATGGAATATACCTAAGTCTCACCCATATTTGATTTAGACGATTAAGAAGATGAGATTTTGGACTTGGAGTTGATTTAAGACTTTTGGAATGATGTGATGGGGTGAATGTGTTTTGTATGTGGGAAGGACACGAATTTTGGGGGTCAAATGGATGAAATGTTTATAGACTGAATTGTGTCCACCCAAAATTTGGTGTAAATCCTAACTTCTATGCCTGTGGTTATAATCCCATTTGGGAATGAGTTGTCTTTGTTATGTTAATGAGGCAGGATTTGTGTGGGGTGTCTTGAGTGAATCTCTTGTGAGATATGAAAGAGATTAAACAAGCAGAGACGGGTAAGATACAGGCTAAGACACAAAGAGATCTCCAAGGAACCAGGAAGCACAAGTTGAAGAGATGAAGACCTTCTTCCAGAGACAGAGAGAGAAAGCTTTACCTTCAAGTGAGCACTCTGAATTCAAACTTCTAGCCTTCTAAACTGTGAGAAAACACATTTGCTTGTTAAAGCCACCCATTTATGATAGTTTTATTATAGCAGCGCTAGAAAACTAAGATAGGTAGGGCTACCAAACAACTCAGAATCAACCTGCTCCTATGTCCAACATTATGCCTGAGGTGGGACTGCCTGTAAACAAATGAGGCTTATACCATAGAAAAGAGCAGACTTAACAGTGTTTTTCTCCCTGCAGATGGGACCAAGATAGCAGCACAGAAGGTGAAAACTGGTGAGTGGCATTTAGAGACAAGATCTGCAAGGCCTGTGTCTGATGAAGCTTTTGCATGACATTCAAGTGCTGGAGAGAAAAAATAAATATTTCCATTTGAAACAGTAAGTAGGCTCTAGGCAACCTTTAGAAATAGTTGCTATCCAGTTCCCCCAAAGAATGCAATACTTGGAGGGCAATCCCTTTACTCAAGTTGTTCAAAGTACTATTTCAAGATCTTGTAACTATTCTTTCCCTAACCCCTGTGTAGAGACTGTATCCTTCTAAAGGGCAAGTTGCCCATGTCTCAACAGGGCCTTCCAGGAAAAGAAATCACAGAAGGACATTTCCAGTATTTGATCTTGTTGATAGTAGGGGCAGGGAGGAGGAAGTGTGACGGTAGGTTTCTTGACTTATTCTATGTCAATGTATTCCCCTCATGAGTCTTGGGTCTTTTTTTTCCCCTAGCATTAGCTGGCATTTATCTACCTTATACTCCCCACTTTTCTCTTCCTCTTCCACCTATTCCTCCAACCTACCACATCACTGGGTTGGCCTTCACTTCTCCCAACACCCAGGTTGTGCCAATTATGTTTATTTGATTAATCTTTCCCCACACTGACTGCCAGGCTAGGGTTTTCCAACACTGATGATCAGCAGAAGTCTTCTGAGTATATGCTTACCCAAACAAACAAAGCATCCTATGCCTGCCCCTCTTCCCTGTGGTCCACCCTCACCCCTTCAAAAAAAAAAAAAAAAATACCATGGATATTTTGGCAAAGAGGGCCCATAGGAGATCTGAGTTCATCCTTCAGTATTGCATCAAAGATGGGTCAGGGGTCATCCTGAATAAAGTTTGGGGAGGGGTTATCAAGCACTAACATAATCAACCCTGCCAATCTGTTCCTAATGTGTAAGTATAATTTATTGTACCAATGTGAGGGGGTGTGGTTAAAATGAGGAAAGGGAGTAAATACAAAATTGGAAAAGCCAAGGAGAGCTAGTCCTCTCTCTCCACCCCAACAATTTCTATCCAGATTTGGGGAAATGACACAAAAATACTTAGCTGATACTATGCAACACTAAAGAATAATGTAGATTCTGCAAAACACTACATAACACGCATGAACTTGGAGACATTATGCTGAGTGAAATAGGTCAACCATAGAAGGACAAATACAATATTAGTTCATTATTGTAAAAAGTCAAGGAAAGGTTTATATATGGAAGGAGACTTTCTTTGTTGATTACCAAGGGTGGGAGAAGAGGGGAGGGGAGGGAACACTGCATACACACATTCATTCATTCATTCATTTATATTTAAACTAAAACCCTCCTTTAGGACTCAGATTTGGTATTTACAAATTCTCCGCTTCATTCAGGACCCTGAAATTTCCACTCCTGTGTGTCTCCTAAGGACAGAATTACTGAACAATACAAAGCAATCCCCCTTCCTTCCTCCTCACCTCCCTGAAGAGTTCACATTGTAGGTAGATCAAACCACATGTGACAAAAGCTGCAAGGAGGCTGCCAAAGGCACAACCCTATGCCCCAACAACCACTGGAAGCCAAGAGCTAAGGTTCCTAGCTTGAGGCACTCAAGAGCAGAAGTCCCAGCTGCAGGAGACAGGAGGGGCCCAGTGAAGAATGTGAACTTGGGACACACACTCCTTTTTCTACTTCCTCAGCCTAGGGCTGTCACCTGTCACCCAGCTGTGGTGCTAAGCTCCTCCTGCCTCCTACACATACCAGAGAAAGAGAACAGATGTTGAATTGGAGCTGCAGAGAAAGATCAACGCAAAAAGAGGGAAAGAGGAGGACTGCCGAAGAAGAGTTACTCTGAGAACCCCCACCAGGAACAGTACTCTAAGCCTTTTCCAGAACAAGGCAGGGAAGGATCTAATTTCACCTAGTGAGATTTTTCTAAGAAGTATGGCTTTGACATGCAAATTCAGTATTTTTTTAAAAAAAGGTAATCAAGAGAAAAGCTTTAAAATACAGGCAAGACCCTCATGTCTACAGTCATCACCAGTGGCCTTATGAAGAGATCTCCCTGCCTTTTGGAATTCTAAAATAATCTACAAGGTCTCCTTTAGGGCTATAGTGTCTGGGAAAACCATATAAAACATTTTTCCCCCTCCTCATATAGATGTAAAATATTACTTCTCCTAGACAGCATATAGAAGGCCTTTCCCAAAGGTTGATCTATATTTAACCTTCAGATATTAGAATCCAGAAGACCTGTCCATAAATAATGCAGGCCCTCATAAATGGAAACTTTTATACCTGCATTAAACAAGTCTCACAAGTAAGATTTAAAGGAGACTCTAATGCCCCACCAGCCACTCTTAGGAAGGAAGACTGGGCGATCTACTTCCACCACAGAGATACTGCTTCGGAAGCCCAAGGATGGGTCATTATGAATCAGATTCAACTGAACAGTAGTGAGGTTTTTTTTTTTTTTTTTAATGTTCCCAAATGGGTCCCTCACCTTCTGTAGTCTTGCCACCTTCTCGTAACATCCTTCCAACTCCTGCCTCAAGTTCCGGTTCTCATCTGAGAGGATCTCAACCATTTGCTGAGCTCTGGAAACAACGGCAAAAGGGTCTGCTGGCATTGGTTGATAAGAAGCAGAGGACTGCTGAGCCCGAGGCATAGCTGAATAGGCCTCTCCTGGCTGTTGCTGCTGCTGCTGTTGGTGATGGTGCTGAAGGTGTTGTTGCTGCTGTTGACTCAGGCCAGGCTGGGAGAGACGGTAATGATCTCCCTGGTGAGCTTGATTAGGAAGGAAATGCTGCTGTGGCCTAGGCAGGTGAGTTGAATGGTCTCCTTGGTTTGGGACCAAGGGGTGTTGGGCAGGAGACAATCTAGTGGATGGTGGAGACTGCAGCAAGGGCAAGGAACCTCCCGACGTGAGGGAAGAAGTAGGGCTGTGAGGCTGAGAGTTCCTGGCTGACAGTGGTAATGAGATGTCCTGTGTTGGCCTGCAAAACATGAAGGGCATGCTCAGGTTAAGTTCTGTCCTAAGGCACTGAGGGAGAAAGTGTAAAGACCCCTATAGCCCTTTCCAGGTCTGACTTTCTGTGACTCTATCAGATAGAAAGACCTAAGAGAGTGGAGTGATCGATCCCATGGGGGAATGAAGCAGATGACCTCAAAAGTCTTATGCAAATCTGGGGACATCAAGCTCAATTGGCATAACATACTACACAAAACATTGTTCCACCTCCTACTTTGGCAAGTAGCGACTGGGATCTTAAAGGCTTGCAGGCAGCCATCTAGGTACAACGATGGGTCTCTCCTTGTCCAGAGCAAAGAAGAATGAAGAAAAACAAAGATTCATGGAAAGAATTAGTCCTAGCGACTGGTACACCAAGTGACGTGCAGCCTATACAACTATGAAACCAGAAGAACTAGATGGCGCCCAGCTACAACTGTCAACCACTCAGAGGGGGATCTATGTAGGAGATCCTGGATAGAGAGGGAGAACAATGTGGAACAAATTCAAAATCATTTGGGAAAAAAAGGGGGGGCCAGGTTTGCAGGCCTGATTGAGCCTGGTGGAACCACTGAGACTATGGCCTCTAGCTACCCGTCAGGTCTGAAATTGAACCCACACCTGTGGCTTCCAGCCAAACAAAAGACAGGCATATTAGTTGAACATTTACCTGAGATACACTCCTTGGAGAGAACAATCATGGGAGAAAGAAAGACTGTTTATGAACTGGGAGACAGTTCAGGGGGCAGGAGTGAATGGAGGGATGGACACAGGGAAGAGGTAACTAACTGTCTGGAGGAAGTGGGAGGGAAGCTGTTGCATAGTGGTGAATTGTGGTCAACGTCATGAGACAAAGTGTATGTGAACTGCTGTATGGAAAGTGAATTTGCTCTGTAAACTTTCACCCAAATCACAATTAAAAAAGAAAAGTCTTATGCAAATCTAAGCAATGGATACTGGTATGCTCATTGCTGAAGTCAAGAATTTTAAGCCATTATTCTGAAAGGTAATTATTATCTCATTATTTAAAACTAAACCTTTTCTTGCATTCCATATGGGGTCTAGCACAAGAAAAGATTTAAATTTAGAAGCTACATTTCACTTGCACAGAAGAAAACAACAAACAGCCATCAAAACCTCCCCTCATCTTGCTATCTGTAACCTCCTTTGATTATTCTGAAGAATGCCTTTGGTCATTTAACCAAAAAACAGAAACAAATAAACAAAACAAAACAAAACAAAAAACACTGCCATCTAGTCTATTCCAACTTATGGCAACACCCATTAGGTTTCCAAGACTGTAAATCTTTTCTTTATGGAAGTAGATCTGCCTCATCTTCCTCCTGCGGAGCAGAAGGTGGTTCTGAACTGCTGATCTTCTGGTTAGCAGCCAAATGCCTTACCCACTATGCCACCAGAGCTCCTTTTTGGTCATACATTCACAAAAAAGTTTCTTGAGGGTATATAAAGTGGATGCATATTGTATTAGCAACACCAAATAATTCTTTGCAGTTATACTCCAAAACCAAACTCACTAGATCCGACTCATAGCGACCCCTCCTTGGGTTTCCGAGGCGGTATCACTGCGGAAGTAGATTGCCCAATCTTCCTTACAAGGAGTGGCTGGTGGGTTTGAACCACCAGCCTTCTGGTTAGCAGTCAAAATGCCTTAGGTGCTACAATAATTTAATGGTAGTGCCCCATTAGCAGTGATAATACCAAGATTTGGAGGGGGTTACAGGCAACATTAACATTATCCTATTATTTTTCTGGTGTACTGAATCACAAAATGTAAGGGTTAAAAAGGTCTTAAGTGTAGTCCAACTCCATCATGGACTTAGGGGAAAACTGAGGTCTAGTGAAGAGTAATGGCCCACCAAATATTACAGAGTCAGGGTAGTGCCAGGGTACAGCCCTTGTTTCCTGATTCCCATTTTCAGACTTTCCAGTGCCAGAACACACACAGATTCTGTGCACCAATTTTCAGATCCTCAGCCCATTGCTTACAGATCGTTTCAGAAAGAGAATTTTTTTTTGTACATTTTTTAATGCTGCTCTCCCCTTTTTTGTACATAATACCAGATGACAAGCCATTAAGGGAAACAGAGTATGTGGAAAGGTCACTTCCACCATCACCACCACTTGGAAGAACATCTGTCAGCATACACTGGAAAGAAAAAACTTGTTCAACACCCACCCCTCCAGCCTTGCCCAACTACAACTAACCTCATACACCTCTCGAATCCTGTGGATACTTGAACTAGAGTTTAGATTTTTCAATGCATGTAAGACAGATGGATAAGACTATGGGATGTGGATCCCAACAGATAGGACCCTGTTTTACTAGCTATGTAACCTTGCTCAAGCTGTTTCACAATCTACCTGAGCCTGTTTCATTCCTGAGGTCACAAATGAATTGCAAAAATCCTGGGCTCTTCTCCTTTCCAAGCTCAAAAGAAATTACAAAGAGTCTCTTATCTACCTCCCAATGAGATAGGTTGACCTTGTTAGAGATTTTACTTAAGGGATATCTATTTAATCTTTGCACTAAATTGCCTAAAATTCATGGTGGAACTGGGACAAAACACTAGGTACAATTAACTTTTAACTAGCATTCCACATGCTAAAGCTTATCTCTCCCCCACACACTCTAGTTAGGAATACTGTTCCTTTATCTATCCCTAGAAGAGATCCTCATTATAAGGGCTTTTTAAAGCTACAAAAACATTTCAAATACTTGCTCATGGATAGTCAATAACTCAAATGTTTATAAGAGCCCTCAAACCCCCTCAAACCTAAGTTCTTTCCCTCAGCTCCATCTATGACTCTGGTATTACCCTCCATTCATTCCATTTCAGATATACAACAACATAAATGACTGCTGAATACTGAAGGGTGCATGCAAATCGTACACAGAAGAATGTACACAGCACTAATGACTACAATTGCAAAATTGCTACCATACATAATCTTTCTGTCTAAGAGTTCAAAGCACTCATCCAACCAGAAACCCAAGGGCTGTTTATAAACTTATTTTGATGGGTCTTTCTCCATTTTCCATACTGTGGATCATCAGTTTCCTAATAATAGGTAAAATGGGATGGTCTCTTTCCTCTTTGAAAGGTAAGTTTTGGTTACGATAAGTTTTGGTCGGATGAGTGCGTTGAACTCAGACTGCTGACCAGAAGGCTGGCAGTTCAAACCCCCCAGCCACTCCTCGGATGGAAGATCAGGCAATCTACTTCTGTAGACATACCGCCTCGGAAACCCAAGGAGGAGTCGCTATAAGTCAGAAACAACTCCACGGCAGTGAGTTTTGTTTTTCATATATACATCCCTAGAATTAAAATATAATGTCCTGGGATTTTGTTGGGGCTTTTGGATCTCTAAGGCAGAAAAGAGGAGCCTAGATTTCATGTGTTTCCAATGTTCTTTCCAGCCCTCAACTTTTCTGGGGAGAATCATCATATTAACCTTCCCTTCTTTGTTCCCAGGATTTGGAAGCCTAGGAGATGTTCTCTTAAAGACTGGACACCTACCTTCTGAAATGGGATTTCTCGCCCCCGCCCCAGGTCCCTGGAACCCATCAAGCAATGCAGGCCTCTCTCTGACATTGACAGTGGCCTCCTCCCTCCTGCCTGGAGATTGAAAGATCTCTCCCAGGGGCTTCAGGAAGGAGGAGACCACGAGGTCTCTGAGGTTAGATACATCTACATCTAGGACGCCAGCTCAGGCTATGACTCTGGGTTCTGTGCCTAGAGGAATGGAGACAAGGCAGCTGCACTTTGGCTTCCCAGTCTGGAAAAGGAGGCAGATCATGTGCACTGCGGTATTGGGAGAACCAAGGCAGACAGGCACTCAGGTTTAGAGGATCACAAAAGGAGATCAATGAACAAACATCATCGAGGCTCCAGCATCCTCACACCATAAAAAAAGCAGGACAGTATTAATACTTGTGTGAAGTTCCCCCTGAGAAGAAGGGAAAGATGAATGTGCGGGTAGGAGAGAGTTACGGGGATTATCAGAGGGACCAAAATACACTCAGATTAAAAACGGTAATAATAATAATGGTTATAACAGTAATAAAGGTGGCAGCCTAGCCGGGTGTGCTGCGAACTACCCAGGTCCTTCCCCCACACAACAGCAGCTTGGATTGCTCCCCACTGAAACATTAACCATGAACAACAGGCCGCCTGCAGACAACAGAATCACATGATCCCACTGGCAAGCCCGTGACCTGCCTCACTGCCTCTTCCCTCCCTTCATCCTGCTCCTTCCTTAGACAACCTGGGCCACTTGTGCTCTGTGGGCAAGGGAAGACAGCACACACACTGCACTTCTAAAGGCACACATGCAAGAAAGGAGCCAGGACTAAATACAGCGTCCTTCCCAAAGCCAGAGAGACTCCTTCCCAGAGAAAGCTGGTGAGGACACAAAGGGAAAGTAAAAGCCAGTGTTTCCAGCTGCCACAGAACCTTCTACCCTGCCACTGTGCTCACAGGAAGCCCCGCCTTCCTCAAACACACACACACACAGACACACACATATTCCTGGCCCACGCATGTTCAAGCCCATGCACACACACACCCTCATACCAGAGCAGGTGCCACCAACAGCCAGGAACCCAATGTATTCTCACCACAGAAATGCTTCCTTTCCCAGGCTCTGCAATGGGGAAGTCTAGGAAGCCTGGAGAGGGCTGCAAATTCCTGATTGTTTCTCTTGCACAACCAGCTCTGCTCTGAACTGCAGGGTTAGGTCACCCTTAGATTCCACTCGACAAGGACTTCAGGAAACCTCACATCTGGCATGATCTCAACAACTGAAGGGAGGTGACTGGTTTATAAACAGAAATGATTTAATTTTTAAAAGCAGTTGATAAATGTACAACCCCAGGATCCAGAAAGGGCTCAGCACTGAGAAGGACAAAGATTCAGCTGGCTTGGCTTTGTTTCCCATCTGGAGTTTTGGGCATTCAGGATTTTTTTTTTTTTTGGGTGGAGAAGAGGGCATAGGGAAGATGAAATAACAAAAGGATTGTTCATAACATTTTGTTCATTTTAATAGCAAATCTCCTGCATTTCATTGCACTTCTGAAGGCAAACAAAGGTTTTTAACAGCAATTTGTTTAAAGGGCTCGCTGTGCACCCTGATCTGTAATTTGTGGATTAAGAACTAAGTCTTCTAATTGGTGCCCTGAGTAGTTACTTGGAAAAGTACTCACAGACTGTATAGCTGGTTGGTTAAAGGAAATAAAGGAGGACAAAGTGTCACCACTTAAAACAGTACACTTCCAGAAAGCGGTTCAACTACCTTCCCTTGCCAACCCTTGCCAACAGTCTGTCTCTAGGTGCCACTCCCTCACACCCAGGGCCTTGCAGAAATTTTACTGTGAGAATGTGCCTGAAAGAGACCCAACCTTTACACAGAGCATCCCTCCAATTGTCAGGACCATTTTAGATTTGCTTATTCATCAAGCTTATCAAACACCCCACAGCTCTTAGAGAGAAAACCTGTTAAAGCAAACCTACGTGTGTTACATATGCTCTAGAGAGGACAGGCAGCATGGGCTCTGCTACTCTTGGGGCTTAGAAAGAGGGAGAGTCCCAGATAACTTAGGAGGGAGGAGAAAATAAAAAGTATCTCCATGTAAAATATATGCAGCTACAGTTCTCTGGTGGTTTAATCAGTATGGGAAGAAAAAAAATCCCTCCTTGGGCTCCTTATTATTTATTTAGGCAGATCAAAGGGCTTTTCCATCTAGCTTCAAACACTGTGGGAGTCATTTCAGATCACAAACAATACTGGTGAATGAGTTCTGAAAATAGCTTTCCTGGGAAGGCGGGCCATGTGCTGAGCGGGTCTTTGGATTCTGCTCCACACCCCAGCCAACACACTCCCCTCCCACAAGGCAACAGACGTCAGCCCGTCCACATATGGGAGGGAGTCCCACAGACTCTTCCATACTGATGGGAAAAGGAAAACAAAAACCAGCTTCATTGACATTTTGCTGGCTTGAATGGGTTTCCACTAAGCTAAGCAGTTGAACAGACCAACCCCTCCCTGGATCTTCCGTTTCATTGGGCAGATGGGAATCGGGTTCTTGTTCTCATTTAAACCTGAATGGCCCTGTCCGTTACCCCATTTCCTGTTCCAAGCCACTTATCAGAATTTAGGCTCCTGCCCTTTGAAAGCTGTACCGAGGGGACTGGAAAGGGTTAGGATATCAACCTGGGTTAAGGAAAAAAAAAAAAAAA